ATTGGCATGGCATACATCCTTTGCTAAGGACTTGTTTAGTGCATCTAGTCATTCCTCATGTTTTATAGGCTCATTCATGAAAATCAAACGAATTTGATGCTTGTATGGTACCACTATTGCATCTATGCTTGACTTGATCTAGTGGTAGCATATGACATGTTTGTGGGATTATGAACCTAGTGTTTGATCTAGAAAATGAACTCTAAGTATTTAACTCAACATGGTCAAGATAACCCTTGAAACGAGGTGTGAAGAAGCTTGTCCTTGGATCAAACCAAGTTACATATCTTTGGCAAGTGTTCTAGATTGAATCAAATTTGGGAAAATGGTCCTCACCCCATTGATTGACATTGATAATCTTAACCTATCTAAAATTGAACCTTTTGTAGACATTGATGACAAAGGGGGAGAGAAACAAAGATAAAAGTGATAGGGAGAGAAATGGACATTAGGATAAAAGGGATAGGGAGAGAAATGGACATAAGGGGAGAAATATGACAAAAGAAATGGATCAATTAAAATTTTTTAGCACACAAGTAGGGGGAGCAAGCTCATGAACTTGAATGATGCATTTGAATGTTCATTCACATATGTTGCTTGCATTTGTCAAGTTTAAATTCAATTCCATGCTTGTGTGGTGTATGCTAGTTGTAGGTATGAATGATGAAATGAAAAACTAGTATGCATAGGATGATAGTTAGATGTGCTTTGCATTTGGTTTCACAAGTGGTACTAGAACCTTGTTTAATTATAATGTTGATCTCACGAGGTATCTAGTATTTGTGTTTTGCAAGTGGTATCTAACTAACAATGGTGCTAAGGATGGTATATTGGTGCACTCCGATTGGTATCACGCTTCAAAGGTCCATCTCTTATACCTTAGCATCATTTGGTAGACATTGCTTTTCCACATTTCCTATCTATTCATATGTGCAAGCTTTCAATCCAAACTCTTAGCACATATGTAGGGAGAGCCAATGCTACCAATTTTAGTTTATAAAACTTGTCCAAATCCTTTACACATGGTAAAAATGCTTAGGCAAGCAACATGGATTCAAAATTATTTTAAATTCATATATTGTGTGGTGAGGTTGTCATCAATTACCAAAAAGAGGGAGATTGAAAGCCCTAGCTTTGTTTTGGATAATTGATGAAACCTATTTGAACTAATCCTTGCATCTAAGTGTGTGACTAGATAGGATGGTCCAACCCGAATGGTGGAGCAAGATGAAGTCCATGGTGATGGTGAACATGTGATGATGATGATCATCCGCTAAACTTGGAAAAGAAGAAAGAGAAAAATAAAATGGGCTGAAGGCAAAGATATAATTGATAGGGACATTTTGTTTTGCCACTCAAGACACCTAGTTGGTGTGAGTGGATTTATGATAGATAGCCGTACTATCAAGAGGGAAAATCTCAGTTAAAACGGTTATCAAGTGCCACTAGGCGAAGTGATTCATGCATATGCATTAGGACCTAGTGTGCTAACTATTAACCCTTGAAAAATGCTTGCAAAAATGCTAACACACTTGCACATGGTGGTGTACAGTTGGTGGTGTTAGCATATTTGCAAAGGTGGTGAAAAAGAAGAAGAAATAGCACATAAAAAGGTGAAAATAGGAGTGTTATCTCTCCACAAGCAATTCTCCTTTCTAACAAGAAATTCTTGTTGAGGAATAGTAAAGGGGACAAGCTCGCTTTGCGTGTCAGTGAGCGTCAGTGAGAGAGAACTCAGCTCAACCAGCAATTCCCTTTTGTGTATAAGAAATTCTTGTTCAGGATTAGTACTTTGAAAGAGACAGGGCAGACTTCGGCCCCTGTGGCATGCGGGTCCAGCCCAGCAGTGCAGCGTAGCAGCAGAGAGAGCATGTTCGTTTGGCTGTGGCGTGTCGTAAACGATCGTAAATTTTCAGCCGGAACAGTATTTTTCTCTCACACAAACCAGCCAGCAGTACTTCTTCACGAACCAGCAATGATATGAACCAGCCAACAAAATAGGCTGATGGGCGTGGCCTCGAGGGCCTCGGACCCTGGCACTCGGTCCCTCAGGACCATCAAACGCGGGTCCGGTCCTGGCCCTTTGGCTACATGGCGCGGAGGCAGAAAGGTGCGAAGCGGCTTGGCGTGCTCCAAACCATGGCGGGCTACGGGTCTGACGCTAGGTGTGCGGGTCCAGCTCTGGAGCCGCAGCAGGCAGCACAGGGGCACGTGGCCTCTGACCTTGCATGCTTGCGATTCCAGACCATCGGGGGAAAGTCCGGTTTTGGCGCGCCATGAGGCTGATCGAGTGAGCAGCAGAGGCAGGGCGACGTGGCGCTTTTCGGTTGGCGTAGAGAAAGGATTCAGGGCGATTGGTTTAAGCGGACCGGGTCTGGAGGGATTTTCCCTCTCTGGATCCTTAGTGGATCCCTCCGGACCCTAGAAGAAGATAGTTTGGTTGCCATGGTGTTGGTCCGGTCCGGAAATATCCTGAGTGGCACGTTCTTTTTATTACCATTGGGATCCAACAAACGCGGTTGAAAGGGTGATACATGGTGACATCCTACGGTCCGGATCTTCACTGTAGATGGTCCGGAACCTGGGTCCGATCCTTTCCAAGAGCATAACGGCTATAACTTTTTGGAGGCTCTATAAATAGAGCTTGAGCATGTTTGGCTCACTCTCTTGGTCATTCTTACATGTGATAGCATCCTTTGAACTGAGCAAATAGCCTCCCACTCATCTCCTTGCTTGATAATGCAAATCAATGTGAGATTGAGTGTTTTCAAGTGCATTTGCTTGAGTGATTGCATCTAGTGGCACTTGAGGATCGATTTGCTACAGTTTTCTTGTTATTCTTGGTGTTTGCCGACGCCTAGATGGCTTGGAGCAGTAGAGGAGTGTTGGCAAGAGTTGGTGGTTGTTCTTGGGCACCTGTCGGTGATTTGTGACGGGTTCTTGTGCCTTCCCTGGCGGAGCGCCAAAGACAACTCTAGTGGATTGCTCATAGCTTGTGGATCCCCATCTTGTGTTGGTTGTGCGGCACCTGATTACGGGTTAGGCGTGTGATGCCTATTAGCGCATGAACCTCCAAGTGGGTGTTTCACTATAACAAGGACGTAGGTTGCCGGCAAGCAAGTGAACCTCGGGGATAAATCATTGTGTCATCATTGTCTCCGAGTTTCATATTGTGATTGATTGATTATCTCTTGCCATGGCTTTATAACTCACTACCTCTCTTATGTATTTACTTTTCTAGTGTAGCTAAGCTCTTTAGTGTAACTAGTTTTGAGAGCTAGCTTGTGTCTTGTCTAGTTTGGTTAGTGAGGCTCTTTAGTTAGTCTTTGAAAGCTCACTAACTTAGTGGTAGTGGCCTAGCCTTTTGTGTGACATAGAGACTATAGCAACTAGAATTGTGGTTAGTTGGCTTGTATTTTTAGTATGCTAGTGCAACATTCGCTTCGCCTCATAATTATCTAACCACTTGGCTTAGTGTTGTTGTAGAATTTTTAATAGGCTATTCAACCCCCTCTAGTCATTAGGACCTTTCAACTCTCTTGATTCAGATTTATGTGGATGATATCATTTTTTGTGGCTCTTCTCATGCACTTGTTGCCAAGTTTGCAGATACTATGAGCAGGGAATTTGAGATGAACATGATTGGAGAATTAACTTTCTTCCTCGGGTTGCAAATCAAGCAAACCCAAGAAGGGACGTTCATGCACCAAGGCAAGTAGACCAAGGACCTGCTGAAGAAGTTCGATATGGGCGAGGCCAAGCCTCTTTGGATGCCCATGTCGACCACGACGGCCCTAGACACTGATGAGGAAGGAGAAGTCGTGGACCAGAAGGAGTACCGCAACATGATTGGGTCCTTGTACCTAACGACGACGAGACTGGACATCTAGATCGCGGTCTATCTGTGTGCGCGCTTTCAGTCTTCACCGCGCACGTCTCATCGTCAAGCCGTCAAGCGGATCATGAGGTACCTCCATTTCACACCCAAGTTTGGACTTTGGTTTTTGGCCTCTTCCTCTCTTTCTTTTTGCGGGTATTCTGATGCGGATTATGCTGATTGTCGCATTGATAGAAAGTCCACGTCGGGGACTTGTCAATTTACTAGATCTTCTCTTATGTGTTGGTCTTCTCTTGTGTTTTGGAATTATTTTAAACCTTAACTCTGAAAATAGTAAAACCTAACCGACGTCGCTTCGAACTATGTGGAGTAATATAAGAGCATTAGATTAATATATTATATATTACTTAATGGAACCAGGCACTTCATTTCTTGATTATCTTATTTTGGGTCAAGATTATAAACTCTGAATGTTTCTAAATTTCTTGCAGCAATCATCAGGTCCTCACAGTCTCTATGAACAAGTTGTCGAAGATCCCACAGGGAATTGATGATTGTGCCACATTAATCATGGAGGCATTGGATTTCATTAACATTGTAACTCTCTGAGTTTGTAACTAAGACAATGGTGATCTGAGTTTGAGACTGCTCTCTATGCATTAGAAAATCAAGAATTATGTTTCTGTGTTATGTACTAAAAAAGAGGTTCTTTTTGTATGGCCTTATGATTTTGTAATTATATATAATAATAATTGGATTTTTAATTTTTTATATTATGTATTCATCTATTATGAATTGTTTTTTATAGACACGTGGCGTGTCCACTAGTTTAGAGAAAGGTGGCAAAGAAAACGTCGAAGTCCCTATCATCAGCTGATCAGACGAATGCTTCCAAGTGGACAGATGAAAGAAGGAGAGGAGAGCATCCAACAACACAGGATAGGGCTGGCGTCCCCCGCCACACATGCCAAAACCATCCCAGTCCCAGCACCTCATTTCTCGTCGTCTTTGTATGCTCCATTAGCACAGACTGAAGCACAAGTTTCAGACTTGAGGATACTCAGCCATCCATCCGTAGCAAACAAAGTCCCATCCTTCTCTCTCTTGTTTGTAAGCTTGCTTGGTTTTGAACTTTTTTTCAAAAAAGAAAAGGAAGAGAGGCATGGCGGCCACAGCGTCCCTGAAGAGCAGCCTTCTCCTCCCGTCTCCTATCTCCGACTTCAGCGGCGCAGCCATCTCCATCTCAGCGCAGGTAACCACTACTACGCAGCACTGAAAGCAAGATTGGAATTTGGAAGCATTTCCTCCATCTGTTTTAGGCCAGAAACGACAGACAGCCTGGCACTGTGTAGAGCTTTCACTAGCAGTAGCAGCCAAGGGGGGCGAGGGTGCATTAACCTGATATATATGGTGATATGGTTGAGGAACGTGAAATTTTGTTTGGCAGAAGAGGAGATCATCATGGCAGCCAAGGGGGGCGAGGGTACAGGTCTCGGCGGCAGCTGACTCCAAGAACATTCTGGTGATGGGGGGAACAAGGTTCATTGGGGTCTTCCTGTCCAGGATCCTTGTCAAGGAGGGCCATCAGGTCAGTCAGTAGTCAGTACCACTACCACCACCTTTGCTCTGCAATTACCAGGTCGTTCAGCCAAGCGATACAGTCAGTCATTCAGAGAAATTATAACAAGAACTCTGCTTTGTCGTCAGGTTACGTTGTTCACTAGGGGAAAGGCACCCATAACTCAGCAGCTGCCAGGGGAGTCTGACGCAGAGTACGCAGAGTTCTCCTCCAAGGTGTGTTGTTTAATTCCTCCTCTGTTTTGCTTGCATGTGTACATCCTGCCAGTGCCAGCATCCACTGTCCAGTAGCAGGATTCTTCAGACATAGCTAATGAGCATGTAAGAATGCATTAGTAGGCCTAAGGTACAATGGATGTCATTGTGTCAGGGTCATGATAAATGGGCTTACTAAATCACTGCTTCATCGATTCTAATGCTGTTATACCAGTAATGGTTTTACATATATGTACAGGTTCAGCACTTGAAAGGTGACAGGCAGGACTTCGAATTTGTCAAGTCAAGCCTTGCTGCTAGGGGATACGATGTCGTTTACGACATCAATGGTAATGTCCTCGATGCTTTATTAAAACCTCCAAGGCTCCTATTATAGACGAGTATATACAAACAACTAATTTCTCGCCATAATTAATGATCTTTACTATAGTTGTGCAAACCTAAGACAAGTATTCAGTAATCTCCAGTGTCTTGTGTTGAGAAAGATTTCAGTAACTAGTAGCTTGTGTCTGTTGTTGCTACATCCCTGGCCGATCGAGAGGCGAAACGATACAGCCATCTGATACACATTTCGCTTCTTTGCATTGGTGTTTCATTTCAGGACGTGAGGCTGTCGAAGTTGAGCCTATAATTGACGCCTTGCCTAACCTGGAACAGTAAGCCAGCCAGCCACTTCATCTAACAACTGATGCAATGCAAGCAATTGTATGTTCCCTTTTCATATCTCATTGTCCTCAGTTATATATATATACCATCAATTTTCAGGTACATATATTGCTCATCGGCAGGAGTATACCTGAAATCTGACATTCTTCCGCACTGTGAGGTACTGTTACTGTATGTATGGCCAAACCAATCTTCACACAAATACACAATGGCGCCATGAAAATGGTCATATGTACACAGATGAGAGGCACTGACTGACAGCTCTCGGTTATATATGGTGGGTCGGCACTCGGCAGGTTGACGCGGTGGACCCCAAGAGCCGTCACAAGGGAAAGCTGGAGACGGAGAAACTGCTGACGTCGCGCGGCGTGAACTGGACGTCCATCAGGCCCGTGTACATCTACGGCCCGCTCAACTACAACCCCGTGGAGGAGTGGTTCTTCCACCGGCTCAAGGCCGGCCGCCCCATCCCCATCCCCGGCGCCGGTAACCAGATCACCCAGCTCGGCCATGTCAAGGTCGTTCAGCCATTGCCATTCAGAAATAATGACGAGTTTGCAATTTGCAGCGTGGCTGACTGAAGCTACCAGCTTGCTTGCGCTTGTTTTAATTAATTTCCTGTCCACTTCCACTCCAGGATCTGGCAAGAGCCTTCAACCTGGTGCTCGGCAACCCCAAGGCGAGCCAGCAGATCTTCAACATCTCCGGGGCCAAGTACGTCACATTCGACGGCCTTGCGCGGGCCTGCGCAAAGGTAAACGAATTTCGTTGTCAGTGATCTCCGCTTCTGAGTGCCTGCTGCTGTTCTTTGTCAGTGGTGGATCATGTGACTGTATGGTATGTTTGGATGCAGGCTGGAGGGTTCCCTCAGCCGGAGCTCGTCCACTACAACCCCAAGGACTTCGACTTCGGCAAGAAGAAGGCTTTCCCCTTCAGGGACCAGGTACCTTACAAATTACAATCCCTCAAACCCTGTCTGGATATATTTCAGACCAACAAAGAAACTGTCGCTACATACTGACAGAGTAGTGTCTTAGCTTGTCTCTTGTGTGTGTTCGTTAGTGACGCTGAGTGATATAACATATAAATGTGATCTACCAGCACTTCTTTGCATCTGTGGAGAAGGCGATCAGCGAGCTCGGGTGGACGCCGGAGTTCGACCTCGTCGAGGGGCTCACCGACTCGTACAACCTCGACTTCGGCCGCGGCACGTTCCGGAAGGCGGCTGACTTTACTACAGACGACATGATCCTCGACAAGAAGCTTGCCACCGTCTGAGGACCGGTGTCGTGATCGAGCTGTTGGTGAGCGGATAACTGTACGTAGTATGTCATATGGCTAAGGGTCAGTGCACGCAGCTGCTAGGGTGCCAATACGATTGCTGGCTGCAAATGTGGGAAAATACATGAATGGAAAATGGTCTCAATTTTTTGTTTAGATATTACATACTGGTTTATGCAATGATACGCGTACCGTGTACGTATAGAGAACTTAATAACTTATGGTACGACCACTGCAACACGGATGTTAGTACATTCAGATAAGTGCCCTCTAATGTTCTGTCTTGCTTCTTCTTTAGGAAACTGGAGGGGTTTGAGACTTTGAGCCCCTACACGGATGTTCTGTCTTGGTTAACCATGGCCGCCATTCTATAAATTTTCTTTTACATCGATAATCTTAAAATAAATCCAGAGAAAATACAAGCATCCACGTCGAGTCGGAGACTTGAATTTAAGTGGACAAGTTTTATCGCAACCAACTAATGCGCGGTTCTATAGCCATACTGATCACATAAACAAGAAACAAAGAAACTGAAGGTGCAATGATATAGCCCGAGGTGGGTCCAGTGCTAGAGGCATAGATGGCAGCGTTCCCATTAGTCGACATAGTGAGCTTGATGATATCATGGATCTCAGGTGATGCAAGACGAGGTACACGGTGCAGTCCTGTGAGCAACCAGCAGAAAGTAGTCATACATGTACAACTGGAGGATATGAGCAGTCATCCGATGAAGGTTGGCTCCCAATAAAACTTATTAATCATCTGTCAACGGAGAACAGTGGTGCTGTGGTGGAATTTCAGGTGCCACGAGGTAGAGGGAGACCACCTCCTTTTGTGTTCTAGCGGACAATAGAGAACAATAGTGGTGCGCACTACTACACGATTGATTAACCGCGACGGTGTCCCGGAGGCCTCCGTGGCGGGCTCAATTTTTTCCCGCCGCGGTAAATCCCATGATTTACCGTGGCGGATATTTTTTATTTATCGCGGCGGGCACAGTATAAGGCCCGCCACGGTAAATTCCTACCGATGGCGCCCAGGTGAAAGCCCATATATGTTTTCCTACCGGGCTAGTATATAAAGCAGACTTAGGTCATCTCCACTCCGACTCCCACTCTGCTCCCTCCACTCACCCACCGCACTCGCCCGACTCCCTTCACTCTCCAGATGGCGGCGCTCCTCTCCCCTCTCCCTCCACTCTCCAGACGGCGGCGGGCCTCCACCTCTCCCTCCACTGATGGCGCCTCCCCCGATCCCCTCCCCTCCCCTCCCTCACGAAGCAGACGGCGGCGCGGCGGCTCTCCCAGCGGCGCCTCCACCAGATCCGGCTCCACCAGAGCGGCGGCGCGGCGGCGGCCATTCCCCATCCTCTGCGTCGTGCCTCCCCCAACTCAGGTAGGTTGCCCTCGCTCCTCATCTCCCTCTCTTCCACTCCCTCACTCTCTCCCCTGTATATGCATGCAGGTCCGGTCCAGGAGCACCGACGCCTTCCCTTGGGCCGCCCAGATCCGGTGCAAGGATATCCCGGCCACCACGGCGGCTGGTCCAGGCGGGTCCGCGAGCTCTGGCAGCGCGAGGAGGCGGAGGCCGGCGAGATCCATACGCACGAGGACGACGACCGCGAGCGGGTCTGCGAGCTCCATCGGCACGAGGAGGCGGAGGCCGGTGAGATCCACACACAAGGACGACGACAGCGAGCGCGTCCACAGCAGATCCGATGCACCTGGCAACGGGCTCGATTGGGCCTGGCGATGGGCTCAATTGGGCTCGCTAGGGTTTTTTTTTGTTTTTTTCCAAACCATTAACCGCGGCGGGCATCCTAACCTGCCCGCCACGGTTAATCGATTAACCGTGGTGGGCAAGTTGGCCCGCTGCGGTAAAGCCATGATTTCCCGTGGCCTTTGAACCACGGCGGACAGCTTTGCCCGCCACGGAAAACCGATTTCGCCCGCTGCGTAAAATCATTACAGTAGTAGTGGCGGTGGAATTTCAGGTACTGCGAGACAGAGGTAGACCATGCACCTCCTTTTTTGCGCCAATGGAGGAAGACGGGGAGACACACGTGGACACCAGCGATGTTACTAGGAGTGGAATTTCAGGTACCACGAGACAAAACTTCCTTTTAGAGCACAAGAGGGATACAACCTCCTTTTATGCACGAGTCAAGGAAGATGGGTAGACACACCTGGACACTAGGGACGTTACGAGGAGTGGACTAATTGCTGCGTGTAACGAACTCCTTTGGTGTGTCTTTAAGAGACACCATCAACCTACCGAAGTGATACGTCATTCATGTCTTTTAACTTCACAACATTTAATATACAAGCCATCTATTTAAGTTAAATTACACTACTACAAAAAGCATTTTTAGGGGCGGCTGGTAACCCTTTGTATGGACAGTTTGGCCAGCCGTCCCTACCGAACCGTCTCTACAAATCATGTATTTGTAGGGGTGGTTCCCAGGCCGCCTCTACAAATCGATTTGTAGGGGCGGCTAGTATTACGAACCGCCCCTACTAATCGATTTATAGGGGCGGCTCAATCACCAACCGCCCCTACAAATCGATTTGTAGGGGCGGCTGTAGTGCCAGCCGCCTCTATAATACCTGTTTGTAGGGGCGGTTCAATCTAGAACCGCCCCTACAGTACGTTTTCCCGTAAAAAAAATTCAAATTTACAATTCAAATTTGACCAGAACTGTTTGTTTCCGCGTATTCCATCCAGCGTTCGCGTTGCCGAACGCCCCGCGACCAACATTCCGAACCGCGTTGGCGTTGCCGAACGCCCCGCGACCAACGTTCCGAACGCGACTACAAGCACAATAGTATTATATAAACTATAATTACAAGTCCAATTCATAAGGATATATACAATCCATCATTTAATATACAAATTCCATGCATATTGTTATCAACGTCTTAGAGCTAGCCTTTCAGTCTCACGAAGGTGTTGGTACTGAGGATTTCTACCTAAGTCAGACTCTCGGTCATGGTAGGCGCCTTTGACGTGTACAATCTGATCCAATATGAAGTTGCAAAGGTCGCCGACGAGCTCTAAGAGTTGGTCATCCTTGTATGAGTCTTTTTTCATTCTTTTCTCTTCTCTCCACTACAAGAGAACAAGTTTCGGTTTAGTATTTCATACCATGTATGAAGTTTTTATACTACTGATGAAGAGGTTCAAACTTACCCTTGAGGGGTGTCTCCTGTAGGCACTGGTGTTACTCATCATAGAATATATATAGTATCCACAATGTACACTCCCAGGCCTCTGCTTGGGGCACTATGTGTTTTGCATATAAAAATGTTATGTAATGCTTTTGACAACTATGTAACGGAGTATTGAAGAAGTAAGTTGCACTTACCGCACATAGTGTTTTTATAGCTAGCTTTTCCTTCCTCGCTGGATCATGCCTTTCGTGATGATGAGTGACATAGAACCTAAATGCGCTATTCGAATTATTTTAGCAAATACAACTTGTTAGTATCCATAAGTGAACGTTACAAGTATGTATACAAACATATAAGCTAATGAGGATTGTCGATATGTATACGTCTTGAGAATCGATATGAAGTCTTTGTATGTCGCCGGGTCCTTATCTATTGAATCAAAGACCCATGCCATGCTCCTCCCGATATCGACGGCTATACAAATCCAGTGGTTGCTGCATAGATTTAATTATAGAACTAGATAAGCTCTTTTGCATCGAATAAAATATATCGAACAAAGCTTTAAGTATATAGTTGAACTTACACGAAGTTGTATGGTAGCCATATAGTAGAGTGTTGTTGTAGATTTTTGAAAGCCAGAGCAATGTATGCCACAACCTTAAGGGACTCTTCCTTTAGTTTCGTCGTACGGATGTGCTCTTTCTCCCGAAGAGTATTTGCAGCAGCTAGCTCTTTGGCATCCAATGTCCACTGTTTAGGGTAATTAAAATTTGGTTGGGCTATAGCTTGAGGGTCTACATACCCGACTTTCAGACTTGGCATTTGTTTGACAATATGCACTTGCATTCTACAAATCACGGCGTTGGTTAGTTACAACAAAATTCAAAGATTACATTCATATCATATCGGGAGGATAAGGACTTACAAGCACCACGTGTGAATTAGATTCATCTCCATTTCTCCCAGGTGAAAGCATGTGTGCATGTCATTGAAGTCAAAGACAATTTTCCCGGCTGGGCTTCCAAATGTGCCGGTGGGGAAGCATGCTCGTACGAGATCTATGCTCGTTGGGAGAACACGCAAGTACCAATCATGGAACCTTCTCATTCCAAGTGGTAGGCGCTGGATGTCCCGGTTTGGTATGAAGGGCTTGCCTCTTTCATATGTTTTTGGGCAATCCTTTGACCATTTGATGTCATCAACATTTGGATACTGCTTTACAATTTGGTGGAGTTTGCTAGTTACGGCCTCCTTAGAACCCCGTGATGGGACTTGTTTAACTTGGTTCTCAGGCTTGAACTGGTCATGTGAATACCACTTGGACACCGATGAGACGTCTTTCATCGGAACATAAACTGGCCTTATGTTGATTGGAATCTTCTTTCGAAGTTCCCATTCAGGCACGTCCTTGTCTTCTTGTGCATCACCTTCTTCAGGAGGCACTCGTTGTTCATGTATCGACTGTGCTTGTTGAGAAGACTATGGCATCTCATCATGCACTTGCTTGGTACGAGCTGGAGAAGGTTGTGGCATCTCATTAGGCACATGCTCGCTAGGAGGCGGGGAAGAATGTGGCATCTCAGGTACGTGGTGGTCACGAGACGGTGAAAATATCTCCCCAACCTCAACAACTTGCTCCAAATTTGGGAGAGGGGGAGGCGGCAAAGAAGCAGTCAATATAATGTCATGTTTGTGCCAGAGGATGAACTGCCCAATAACGTCTCCGAGTAACACCAGCCCCTCGGGAGTTGTGTAGTCTATCCTCCACTGCATGAACTCGAGCTTCACGGTATGCACCTCGACCCTAGTGTAGTCCGGCGGTATCTT